GAGAACGGCGGATAATTTGTCGGACTAACGAGGTTGTAATATTGATCAGGATGTGGAGTGAGCTCATGCTGCTCCTCGATAACGTTCTCTCCTTTATATCGATTCCAAATATTCCAGCAGGTCACGGCGGCAGAAATGATCTGACGCACTTCGGTCGTTGGGAGTTTTTTAATTGATATTTCAGTGACCACACGGAGAAACTCCACGTTTTTGGAGCAAATATTGACTTTTGTGTTTATTAAATTAATTATTGATGCTTTGAGTTCAAATTAATTTTTTTGAGCTCTAACTGGATCAGTGTGGTCAGATCTGACCTCCATAGATAGATGGGAAAATAAATACAATTAAAAATAAATAAATAAAATAGATTTAAAAAAAAGATAAAAACATATAAAAAATAAATAAAATTTAAAAATAAATAAAAAATAAAATAGATTTAAAAAAGATAAAATTATAAAAAATAAATAAATTTTGATTTTTTTTTACACAAAGGAACAGGAAATTGAAATACACAAGAACAAAAAAAAATTTCCAAAAATTCTTAATATTAATTATTATTATTATTTAACAAGAGTGAATGTGGATTCTGTCTGTTTATAAACATCCAGGTCGATCTGGGCCGTGGCGGCCATTACAAAGTGTTAAAAAAGCCCCCATAATGGTTTGGGAACCACGTGTTTGAGACCCCTGGTCTACATCATGATAAATACGTTTTTAAAATGAATTATTTAATTAGATTACGTTACAGAAAATAAAGTGTTTGTAAATGTTGTTGAAAATCAAGAACAAAATCCTGACGATTTTTTTCACTGCTTTTTAATTTTTTTTTTTCTTCTTCTCAACAGTCGTCCACATGTGGAGAGGAAGTGAACGGCTGAAGAAGAACCGGACGATGACTCAACGTCTATTATCCATAATACGGTAAATGAACATGAATCTTCCTACTTCCTGTCGTTCTTCTGAGGTTTGATTTGATGTGATGTCATTTCCTCTTTTCTCTTCAAACTAAAAACCTCTGAGTTGTTGGTTTTTTCTACTGGAGCTTTTGTCCTGTTTGAACTTCAGCAGAGTTCACACCTCACCCAGTGCTAAACACACACACACACACACACACAGACTGACGCGTACAAATGCGTTCTCCACAGGAACCAGATAAAGGAACACGGCGGGAACTCATATGAGATTTATCCTCGCTCAGATTGTTGTTCGTGTCTCAGTTACTTGTCGCGGTCCCTGCGACCTCTGACCAGTAGAATCTTTTAATATCTGC